GGAATTGAAGTGTAAGATGTCGTTTCTTACTCATGATTTTGCACTCTCAAGTAATAAACTTATAAGAAACCTCCTCCCGTTGAGGAAAAAACTTGCTCCCGACTGAGATAGAACCTCTTAAACATTCAAATCTCAAAGAAATAAAAGCAAAACAACTTAAAACTTATTTTAGGACTTTTTTTTTGCATAATATTTATTTATACTTAACAAAGGTAATTTGTACCTGACATTAATTCTCTAATATTTATTCACATTTTAACGAATATATTACAACTGATCAGAAAAAACAATTGTTAGAATATATTTATGTATTAAATATATAAAATATCTATACGCTCCCATAGGCGCTTCCAACCTTGGAAACCTCTATATGCCTTCACTCCCCACCCCCTCTCCTGCTCTCGTCCCTGGCCATGTGAGCCATCTCCATGTGAAATGGTTTGCCTAGATGTGCTTTGAGTACTCTTCTGCTCAGGTGTAGGATATTCACTTGATGTTGATATATTTATATATTTTATCTGAGGAATCGTAAGCGTTATTTTTTATTGAGAAACCTCATGCAAGGATATTTGTTAGTGTTTTATTTCTTTATTTTCCCATCCCCTTTGAAAGGATGTCTATAAATAACAGTCATGGAGCAACCCTTTTTTCAGACCTAAATGAACTGTATGAAAGCCTTGAACTGTCCATATTTTTCACTCCAAATGTGACTCATAATTTTTGGCTGTATGATATTAAATACTGGTTCAATTCTTTAAACTTACTGTACTTTCGTTCCTGGTCTGTGTATTCATCTAAAATAATCTTCAACTATGCGTTATTAGTGGATAAATGGTTTCTTGACTTGTTACAGCTATTGGAGTGACACTGTTTAACCTATCTTTTTGACGCTGTTGCTGATGCTTGTTCTTTTATTGGATGGATTACTATTTTACAAACCTCAGTTTCTATAGTACCACACACCGTCAAATCTAAAGTGGATTACCATTGTTTGTATGCTTTTAATCCATTTATTTTTTGCAATTAGGTAGTGTGCCTTCTAAGGAGTTACCAAATTGTTTAATCGTGCTCGTGAAGATGTTCATCCTTCCAACTCCTCTTGGCCTTTCTGGCCTGGAAATTGTAGAGCATCCTGAGGACCTCTTGTAGAGAGGTTTATTGGTTCTAGTTTTTTTTATGAGTGATCTAAAATACGTTCTGTGGTAAAATTTCCTGTTGTAGGAGAATGTATATTAGTTAGTAGGCTACCAGAGTTTTTTGTATATAGAAGCAACTAAGGGTTGGTTAGTTGTCCAAGTCCAGTTCGAGGTGTGCTAAGAGATACCCAAGCCTATTTTCAACCCGAGGTTGTCTGCTCAAGCCCAACTGAGTTAGGCCTAAGTTGCCCGAATTGCTCATAAATTCGATTCTTGTTATTGCAGCTAAGTTGATTAATTTGTTGAGATTAGAATCTATTAATATCTTTTTTGGTAAAATCATTAATAACATTAAAACAAATAAGAATTGACCACACATGCAATAGTACGTGAATTAGCCAAAGTGAGAGTGGAAGATGAGAGAAAAGCTGTGTGCAGTGTTTGAACAAGCTCGCTAATCTAAGTAGTGAGTTTTTCATGAGAATTAAAAGTAGGAATCACATGTCCGAAAGGAATGGAAGTTGGTTGTGGCTGTGTAATATCATCAGCAACTTGATTCATATAATCTGTATTGCCATAATTCTGCCAACAATGTAGTTTGTGTGGTTGGTGGCACTATAATAGTCACACTTCTTAGCACCTCATCCACCAGAACCGCCACCACAAGAACTACCCAACCTCCACTACTAGAAACTATAGCAGAAGATTCTGAAAAAGTAGTAGTGGGTGGGACTGGTCATAGAGGCTCTTTCTTAATGATCAGCACAGTAAATGAGAATAGATATTATCGTGGGTAAAAGTCTCATTAGGAAGAATTTGATCCTTAAAACCCTGCTAGTCAGAATCTAATCCAGAAAGTAGGCCAATCATAAATGCCCGCCAATGTTGCTTTAGCTGCCCCAAATCGGTGGTAAAAGGCTTATGTTGCAATAACTGGTCCCGTAAATTTTTAGTGTTGTAATACTCATACAACAAGAGAATCCCAAATAGCAAAGGACCAAACAAGATGAAACCAAAGGACCAAGAAGCAGATCAACCAAACCACCGCAAAACAATACCGAAACAAATGAGCGAAAGACCACTGCAAGGCCTAAACGGAGGGGACCGACCACTATGTCTTCAAAAATAGGTTCAAAGGTTATAAAAATCACCAAACCAGCACAAGATCAGACCTCCCCTAGGTATGTTGGCACCCGTAGAAGTGGTTCCAACAATCAAAAGCATGGGTGTTGTCTCAAAGCTTGAATAAAAAAAAATAGGAAAAAAATCCGAAAATCATTTGAAAAGGCACTTCAAATGGCTTTAAAAAATTCACAAAAATCACTATTATCACCAGGAGATCGAGACAATTGAACCATTAGTTGCCAGCCAACAGCATCTGTATAGATGTTGACATCATTGTACGGATAATGACGTCAGCATATTGCGGTCACCTCACATGATTTCCAAAATTTTCCTGTGTGTTATAGGGTTGGACTTGGATTGGATCACTCTGATACCAAGTTGAAATATAAAGGGTTGTTTGGGATGACCTAAATAAGTGTACTTTTTGTCTTTTTACGAAAAGATGTGCAGAAAAGTAGAGAGGTGATGTGATAAAAAAAAGATAAAAAGATGGATTATTTTTGGGCTGCCAAACTTGGCCTAAAATATGGAATTAGCATGTAGAAGAAGAATGGATAGACGGAGAATGAAGAGAGATTAGCGAAATAGCTTAGGGTGTGGTAATCAGACCCTTCACCCACACATGCATTTATATCATATCAAGATAGAATTAGAAGAATATCCATAACATGACATAAGACCAAACATAAGAAAATAATACACGTGTTACTGCATTTAAATGTGAGTTTTTATTGACATTTGATATGCTTTGCGTTGACTAAAGATGTCTTAAGCTGACAAATTGTTGTAGGAGGATGATGAATCATTGGACATGAAGATGATGTCCTTGTTATGGATTAGATTTTGTGGGTCCCTATTGTCTAAGATATGTTTAATTTCAGTTAATTAGTTAAAAACAGACCAAACTCCATTAAATGGCTTACTTATTTACCTGACTTTAAGTTTTATTGTGAAAATGAAACTCTAAATCTGGTTCAGCATGTCCCCTTTTGCTGGTTCAGGAGAAAGGTCTTGATGTCATGTAAAGAATGTGCTTAAATTTTTCAATGATGTAAAACCGTGAACTTTTACTGGAATTCATCAAGATCTCAGAATGATGCCATTAGAATTCATCCTGGTCCATGTTTTAAAGTATGGATAACCTATGTTACATGACTCTTCAAAATAAATCAAATAATCGCGTCGGACACCCAACACTTGGACAAGAGTGTGGGATATGTGTATGATACTTTCTATCGGACACTTCTTTTTTATCTATTTGTATCTAACATTATCATTATATGTATATGTTGGTGTATAATTTCTATAAAATGATTAAAATTCCTCTTTGACATTGCAAGTTACGTATAACATCATTTTATCTCACATAATAGATTAAAAATATAAAATATGACCTTTTGTTGCCAAGTCCGAGTATCCTTAAATTTGAAGTTTGATGGATCCGACCTCTAGATACACACCGGCACCCACCCAAATCCGTGTAATGTAAACTAGACCTAGTCCCTCTGTAGTAGTTCAAGTTATTTCTTAACATACCCTAGTGGATCCTGTTATCTCATCTTTCTGTTTAGATTATGAGTGTGAAATATCTTAGAAAAGTGCCTGAAATATCTGTACATGCAGAGGCTTTTCATCAGCTGCTTGAGTGGATTTGTACCTTTCTATGTCATTAAAATTATAGTAATTTAAGGTGTCTTAAAGGTAAATAGATTTTTTCTGACAGATTATTGTTTTTTGAAAAACATTAAGCTTTTTCCTGTGTAGGAAAATTCTAGTAGAATTGGTTCTGTGGGAGGTCAAATTGGGCCGACAGATTTAAGATACAAATATGGACTCTAGCTTATTCGAGTATGTAAAATTGGGTAATCCTTCCCCACAAACATCTACCCCCACTACCCCACTCCTCACCCCACTTTGGATGAAGGCAAATTCCCAGTCTAAGGTCTTTTGGTGTCCTTCAGACGTCACTAGTTAAGCTATCTGTCACTTTTCCAGTATATAGCCCTTGGTACCTGGCATAAGTCGGGGAACTGAAATGATTTTTGTCTTGGCATAATAGATCCAGCTGAAAGACATGATAAGAGATATGTGTTTGCTATGTAGTGTTTTTGTTATTGCCTTATTTTTTTTGTCCTTTGACAGGGAGGGTAGGGGAGGGGTTCACAAATTTGGGTATTCCTTTTATTCTAATTTTTTTACCTTGCTGAAAGAAAATTTTGTTTAATCAAAACTATAGGAGCCAACCAGCAAAACCTCACAGTATGTCATCCCATATGGGTGTGCCTTCTCAATCTCAAACAAACTACTTATATTGTACAATGAAGAAATATGATACAAAACAAAACATTAGAACCAGCCACATGCTGGCTACATTGATTGGTGTCATCTGGTTGTGTTTATTCTTGAACACTGCTATTGATTGGTTGTTTATTGCTCAATTTCTGGACTTCGCCATCTTTTTTCTCCTTTATATTACCATGGAAACTTAAAACTAAAGCTATTTAAATCCCTGTTTGCAATAGGGGTCTTCTTTTCTTCTCTTCATCTTCCAATGTTTGCTACAGAAAAAGTTGAACAACGGAACAGTAAAAAGCTTGTTTCCTCCTCTGCTAGTCCATCGAGCTTCAGATCACACAATGAATGATGACCGGATAAACTTGTGCATGTACTATGTTAAATGAACACATTTACGATGGATATTGTTCTTGATCGAGTCTTACTGTGCATAATTTGCTGCAGATGAAGAGGATCGCATCATTTTAGCAGCTCATGCAATTCATGGAAACAAATGGGCATCAATTGCAAAGCTCCTGCCCGGTAGAACGGACAATGCAATTAAAAACCACTGGAATTCAACACTGAGGCGCAAGGGCACAGAGCTCAAAAGGCTTAAACCATCATCTGTCAACATTTTGGAAGAAGGAAGCCCAGACTGCACAAAAGCATCCTCAGAAGAAACCCTATCATATGGAGAAAATAATTCATTGAGGGCCCTAGAGGGAAAAGATTTGAGCTTGACACAAAATAGACTCAACCATTGTGAAGAACATCGAGCTGCTGAAATAAACCGTCCTGCACTTTCTTGTCCAGTGCCACGTGTCGGCGCATTCAGCGTTTACAACCCTCCAAGCAGCTCAAGAACTGGTTCTATATTTTCAAGGATTGATCCAATGCAGGGGCCATTGATCCAAGCTGTCAAACCTTACTTTGGGGTCTGCAAATTTCTTGAAGGTGTTGGTGTTGAGCCCGTTGTTCCTTTGCAATGTGGCCATGGTTGCTGTGAAGCTTCAAATGGGGCTTCTTCTCGGAGATCATTGTTGGGACCCGAGTTTGTTGATTATGATGAACCACCTCCCTTCTCTAGTCACGAGTTGGCTACCATTGCCACAGATTTGAACAACATTGCCTGGATCAGAAGTGGCCTCGACAGTACTGGCACACAAGTGGTGGAAAATGCAGCTAGCCAGAGAGCGTCTCAGGATGTTGCAGCACAAATGGGTGTATTCGAACAGAATCTGAATCACGACAATTTTCGATTTGAAGAGGGTCGGAACAGGCTGGTGGGCACAATGACTGACGTGATGTCAAGCCAGATGCCAATGCCAACTTTTGCTTTGCCAGCCGAAGTAGAAGGCTTGAGCTAAAATCCACAACTGGTTTTTCCATCTTTTTTGTGGTATGGCGAGATGGTACCATGATGAGTTTGCAGCAGGAATCCAAATTGTAAAGAGGTTTGTGATGGCAAAAAATCATATCATGTAATGGCCAACGATTTCAGCATTACTGGGAAGCTGGTGGCATTTTGTTTTGAGAAATAGTTAAAAGTTTAACCAGACATGGTTCAAAGTTAGAACTCAGTTACATCAGTTATTTACCATTGTGATGCTTCGGTCAGTGTATTAACGTTGAATTTGAACCTCCTGTTTTTATAGATACAAGTTCTTTTTTCTATGTCACATGATGTTGGTTATTTCAGTTGTTTCTCTATGCATATTTTGGTCAAAGGTAATTGGGATGGGATAAGATGACCTGATTGTGGGAGTTCTTGAGGAGGTATTTGGTGCAGCGATGCTGTCATGTGGTGTTGTGATATGATATTACTGACCAATGAAGATCTTTAAATGAGGATAGGGAGGGACCCACTTGGTCAGTTAAGTGAAAGGCAACGTAAGTCACACATCATCTTATTGATCGTTGACACCATACATTATTTTCAATATTTTTTCGTTTCTTCTTTTGGGAGTTAGTTGGCATTTTTGCTCTTTCTTTTTTTTTCAATTATTGTCATTTTAATTGAACCTTTTCAATTTGAGTCAATTTCTACTCTTTTAGATCTATCTAAGGCCTCGTTTGGGAACATGTTTTTTTAGTAACTTTTTAATTTTTTAGTAAAATATGATGTAAAAAAAACTAGTATATTTGGGATTACTTTTTTGTTTTTTACAAAAAGATGTGCAAAAAGTAGACAGAAAAAGAAATCTTTGACTTTTTAGGATAAATTGTTGACTTTTTGATTTTTCTAGTGACTTTTTGACTTTTAAGCTAAAAAGTGATGTTTTCAAACGAGACCTAAATTATACGATTTTCAAATTTTAAAAAGAATCGAAACAATTTTAGAAAAATTTTACTAACTTTTTTTGTTTGCTTTTTTTTTTTGGTCTTTAGTTGCTTAAAAATAATAATAATAATAATAAATAAAAAGTTAGAGGAAAAGTGTGGCTTAAAACTGGGAGCCAAGGTTTTATATTAGGAACATTTTGATAGAGTGAGGCCAGAATTTGTGGATTTGTTAAATAATTAATGGTAGGTGGTTTTTAATAATAGCATTCCACAAACGTATGCTACAGTAGTGTTGTTTGGAGCTGATTTAAGGATTGACGTGTTTGAATTGAGATCATTAGTGCAATGGTTATCCTAATCTTGATGTACTACTTAAAAAAACCAATTTTTTTAACTTTATATTTTACTTTATTTTTGGTGTTTGCATGGACTTAATGATGATGAAAATGACAGTGAGAAAAAGCCTACCATTTAAGACTAAAATAGTCAAAAATAAGGTTGATGAGGTTTATTTTTGCTTGCTCATAGCATCCACCATATCTTAATTTTTATGTTATTTACATATTCACATGATGGGTTGCTACAGTGCAATGCAATCCATATAGTATTTGCATGTTTATCATGCTTAGGACTCGTTTTAATTGAAAAAATAATGGCAAGACCAAATATATATATATATTTAAAATATGCGGGAGCTTAGGGCATTCTTGTCATTTTCACAAACTAATTTTTTTTTTTTTTTTTTTTTATAATTATAAGATAGTCAGGATTGTAAGAAAGAGTGAATTGATTCTTAACATGTAAGAGATTTATAAATAAAAAAAATAAATAAATAAATAAATTTAGAAGAAGAGTAAGGTGGTACTTGATAAGTCAATCCAACACAAAATTAAGTGTATTATGTGAAAATTAATTAACTCTATTTGAAAATCACAAATTATATTAACTCTTACCATATATATAAGTTAAAAGATTAACTGAATCTATAACTATGTATTAATATCGATATCACAAGGAGGATCACAATAACAGTTCTTCTAATAATATTGTTGTAACTTAGCTATTGTATAGTGTAGTATAGAGGATCATATCTCTTCTATTAGAAATATGGTTAGTTAGCTTCATTTGAGGTATGAGTTGACTTTTTAATTTTTTGATTTTTTGGCTATTTGGAATGGATTTTTTTGATTTTTTTGACTTTTGTGAGAGAAAAAATAAAATGATTTTGACTTGAATGTAACATTTTATCCTATTGAATTTTTAACTTATTTTATATTTTTATAACTAAAATAACTTAAAAAGCCCATGCAAAACATAGGTTTTGTATATATACACATCATGTAATCTTTATTTAGGCCAAGTTTGGCAATCAAAAAATAATCTGTCTTTTTATCTTTTTTTCATCACATCACCTTTCTACTTTTCTGCACATCTTTTCGTAAAAAATAAAAAGTACATTTATTTAGGTCATCCCAAACAACCCTTTAATAATTAAAAAATCTAATTCAATTATAATATTTCATTATGGTATCACAACTATCACTAGCACTACTAGACCCACAATCCTAACCCCATCCCTACTCTATTAAAGTCATCATTATCACCGCAACTACTATCATTACCATTACATCACTATCATGACTACTGTCTTATGGTAGCAATTGTAATGGTCTTGATGATAATAGTGAAGGTGACAGGTAACAAGTGACAATAACAGTGGAAATATAATGGCGAAGGTGGCCACAGGGGACTGTGGTGGTGGTTGTGGCCTTGTCCACCTTACGGCAGGGCAGTACCAAGTGATGATACATTATACAATAAATAAAATATAATAAAATAATACTATAATAATTCAATAGATAAAAATGTGATAACTTGATACAATTATATTGGTTGTAGTTGATAAATTTGGGGTGAATTACACATCAAAAGTGTGTTAGAAATTTTTTTATAAAAAAAGTGATAAATTTATAAATATTAATAATTAAAATTATAAACTTTTTCACTATTGTGTAATAATTTTTCCAAAATTCTCCGGAATAGTAATTTTTTTCATAAATTTATAACTTCATATTTGCTTCATTGAAAATTTAAGGGCAAATTACAAACATCCCCTCGAGGTTTGGTGAAAATACAGATTCCCCCCTGAGGTTTGAGAAATTACATCCCGCCCCCTGAGGTTTATATTTCCATAACAAATTACCCCCTGAGGTTTTTATTTTCATACAGATTTCCCCCTAATTTGTTATGCAAATTTGACCTCCAGGGGGCAATTTGTAATTTCTCAAACCTCAGGGGGGAATTTGTATTTTCACCATACCTCGAGGGGGGTGTTTGTAATTTGCCCAAAATTTATTTAAAAAGACCCAAAAAAAAAAAAAAACTTGCTTGAAAAAATAATACAATTATATTAGGGGTAATCTTACCTACACCACCATTTTTCCTCATTATACACTAAAGTTTTTTTTAAAAAAATTATTACAATGTTAACTCTAACTAAAATTACTAAAAAAAATCCTCAAACTTAAAAAAACACCAACCCATTCTTCTTTCTTCTTCTTTTTCTTTTTCTTCTCCTCCTCCAAAGTCTTTATTTGAAACCTCTCTCTCTTAGTAGGAATGGCAATTTGAAACCAGCCCGACGGGGACCCGACCCCCCGACCCCGAAAAAAACTCCCCACAAGCCGGGGATGGTATTAAAAAATAAATCTCTGATTATTTTCAGGCCGGGGACGGTGATCCCTTCCCTAGCCCAGACCCGCCCAGGCCCCGTCCCCGTCCCCCGTCTCCATTTCCCCGATAAGAAATTACAGTTATAACCCTCCCTATATATATATATATATGTTTCCTAATAAAGATGTAACACTACCAAATATACTGACTCAAGTCTCTCTCTCTCTCTCTCTCTCTCAAACCCTCGTCTCCTTCCCTCCTTCCGACCTCACTGCCTCACCCCGACCTCCATTATTGTCTCCGTCTGATCTGCCTCACGCCGATCTCTCTTCCTCCCTCCGATCTCACGCCGATCTCTCTCCCTCCCTCCGATTTGCCTCACGACGATCTCTCTGCCTCCCTCTGATCGTCATCGTCCCTCCATTCCGTCTGAGCTCAAATCGCCGTCGTCGTCCCTCCGATCTGCCTCTCGCTTCTGTCGCCTCATTCATCCATCTGAGCCTCTAATGAAGATGAAGAAAAAGATGCGTTAGATTTTTTTATTTTTTATTTTTATTGTTTTACATTTGATGAATATATATGCTCTCACAGATTTGTTGATGATTGTTGTTGTTGTTGATGAGTGTGTGCTCAGATCTGTTGTTGTTGGATGTTTATGTTGTTGTTGTTCTTTTTCTTTTTTTTTTATAATTTTAGCCGGGGAATTATGGGGGTCGGGGAAACCCAATCCCCGTTGGGGGACGGGGGCGGGGGTGGTGATAGGCTCCCCGTCGGGAATCCGGACCGGGGACGGAGAAATTTCTACCATCGGGGATCGAGGACAGGGAGAGTGATCCCCGGCCTTGCCCCGTCCCATTGCCATTCCTATCTCTTAGGAAGGGAAATTGAGGAGGTTCCGTTTAACGCAGAGAAAACGAGATGGGTTACATGGGTGGAGATTTGAAAGGAGGTTGCAGGGGTAGAGATCACGATGATGGGAGGGCTGGAGACGAGATTGTAGAGGCGATTGCGGTTGAGATGGTGGTGGTCGCAGTGGTTGAAGGGCGGTGAAAGTGGTAGTTGTGGTAATAGGGTGACTACAAAACGGTGATTGCGGAGGTTAGATGTTGTAGAGTGATGGTTGGAGGCGGAGGAGGAGATAGTGGGTTGTGGTTTGGTTGCTAGAGGTGGTGATAGTGATGGTTGATAGTGGCAATGGCAAAAAGTAAAAGTAGAGCAAAGAGAGGTGATGAAATCGGTGTAAGGAGAGAAAGTGGGTTTGAGGTAAATTTGATATATTGAAAGTGTAAAGAGAAAATAATTTTGATTGATTGTAAAGAAAAAATGGGTGTAAAGAAGCCAAATTGTAGTGTAACTAGGGATGGTAATTTGAACTCGACCCTATGGGGACCCGGTTCCCCGACCCCTATTAGAACGATTTTTTCAAGAAAAATATCCCCTGATGGGCTGAGGATGGTATTCGAAAATGAATTCCCGACAAATTTTGGGCCGGGGACGGTGATACGTTCTCCAGTCCCCTCTCCGTCTCCGTCCCCGATATGAAATTATTATTATACCCCTCTATATATATATAAACCAAACCCTAAAACACAATTATTAGACCTCCTCTCATCTCTCTCTCTCTCTCTCTCTCTCTCTCTCATCTTTGTGTACGTATGTAAATGTATGTATCTTTGTATATATGTTCTTCCCTCTGTGTGTATAGTGTTAGATCAAGATTGGA